CCACTCCTCTACAGGCTTTCCAGGTTTGGTGAAGATTGGGCTTCAGACGTATGAGTTACACACCCACAAAGTGGATTTCCCAGGAAAGTGTCCTTGAGCAACTGTCTTGGAGAAACCCAGTCTTCACCAAACTTTGAGGGATTGTAGAGGAGAGACAGGTGAAGCTTCTCTATGATGTTGGTGCCTCTAGGTGCTTGGGAAGGTCTTTCCAGGAGGGAAGGTGCTTTTTGTGGGTGTATAACTTGGACATATGAAATCCAATGTTCACCAAATTTGCAGGGCTTGTATTTATTTATTTATTTATTTTATTTTATTTTATTTATATCCCGCCTATCTGGTCGGGTGAGGACCACTCTAGGCGGCTAACAATCATACAATGATACAATAGAGGAAGATTCTCTGCAATTTTGGCATCTTTAGTGCCCTGGGGGCCATTTTATAGCCCAACAAATAAAACATCTCTAAAAATTCATTGATTCATATTTTTTGGGGGGTATTCATTTGTACAAAAATGAATAGATGAATTAGTGATTTTTTGAATTAATTTGGTGATTCATTTTTTGAAATATTGTCCATCTCTTCTCATTGTTTATTTAGCCATGGTTATTATCTTGGAATTACCCCCAAATATGGATATGGCTCGCACTCTGTTTGACATACTGTATAACAGTTAAATACATTTGCACCATACATATTTTGTACAGTAACCTGTTAGAACCTTAGGACTTGTTTTACTGATTCCTTTGAAAAGATAGGCTTGGCACAATTAGGAAATCTGTTTATTTCTCCTACCATCATCTTCTTGCCATAAGATCTGGTAATGTTAGCAGGCATTGTAATTCTCCTGGATGGCTGTATTATACCTATTGGCAGATCGGTGGCATTCTTCTCATTGTACTCCCTTGGCAGCTCTTTGTAAAGGAAAGAAGAGAAAAAATATAATTTATTTCCATATACCTGCACTGTGAGGAAATTTGCACATGCCAGATGAAAACTTGGCATAATTTGAAGCAGGTTCTCAGATTTTTGTAGTGTTTGAGGCGTTTCATAAGAGGTTATTGGCAATGCCAATGATTTTGCTGGGTTCTGTGTAAACAATTACCCTTTTATAGCAAACTCAATAACAGTTGGTCATAGAGCTTAAACAGAACTAGAATTTTAAATGTAAAGCAAAGCAAAGCGTGCTGCTTATATACTGCCTTATAGTGCTTGAAGCACTCTCTGGGCAGTTTACAAGTTAATCATGCAGGCTACACATTGCCCCCAAGCGAGCTGGGTACTCATTTTACTGACCTTGGAAGGATAGAAGGCTGAGTCGACCTTGTACTCAATGTACAAAAGTGGTTCCATTTCATTTGACATCTTTTGTTTATTGATTTTGATAAAATAATCTTTTTGTAATGATTTCAGGTGCTATACCTGATAATGAAAACTTGGATGCCTCATCACTGGAAGTTAGGCATCCTTCAGTCTCGAAAGACTATGGTAACGTGCTCTGTATGGAGGACTTGGAACAGCGTCTAGTGTGGCTGAGGAGGCCAATTCGAGAGTGACAATCTCTTCCACACTGAAGACAAATCCAATCTGTTCCCTGTCCAGCTCCCTGGTTTTGCTGCTTTTGTGACTTCCTCTTTGCCTCGGCCTGCTGGACAAGGGTCTCTTCCAATTGGGAGAGGCCGTGATGCAATGCCTGCCTCCAGGCTGAACGCTCAGATGTCAGGGTTTCCCATCTGTTGAGGTCTATTCCTAAGGCCTTCAGATCCTGCTTGCAGATATCCTTGTATCGCAGCTGTGGTCTCCCTATTGGGGCAATTTCCCTGCACTAATTCTCCATACAGGAGATCCTTTGGAATCC